ATTTGTAATAAGAGAGAGAAGGGGACATACAGAGAGAATTGAATTGAATATCACTATGTTAAATGAAATAAAACAGAGTCATAAAAATAGATACCATATGCTTTTTCTTGCATGGGAAATCTTGTGTGTGCATGTGTGCGCACGTGCATGTGTGTGTGCACTTGTGTACGTGTGAGTGCATATACCTAAGACAGGGACGGTAGGGTAAATAAAGGCAAGCAGAGAGAGGTGGAAGAGAACGAGACGAGGCAGTGGAGGCAGAGTGTGAGCCGAGTACACAAAGTGCATGTGAGGAAATGTCACAGAGAAATCCATTCCCTGTGCTGTGCTGAAGAAGGAACATAGATAAAAGCACAATCGTCAAATCTGAGATAGGAGAGCTACGTGGTACCCTAGGAATCTGTCTAATCCTTTTCCATTGCCCTCAAGCAGGCCTTGGAGATTAGACTGAGAGAGTGCGCAACTAGCATTGAGCACAGTGCCTGTGAGCTCAGTACTTACTGTGTGCCAAGAACCAGTTCTTACTGAGCTTAGTAATAAACAGATAGGATGATGCTGATCTTATTCATGGGTCAAAGAACAAAGTCCTGTCCAGTCCTCTGAGCCAAAGACACAGATAGCAAAAAGGAGAATAAGATTGGAAAAAGAAAACAAAATATAACAAGTAAGCAAAAATCAAAAATGCAAAACTAACTAGCACGATATTTTAAGAGCAGAATTCAAGGAAATTTGGAAAAAGAATTTCAACATAGAAAATTAATGTAATAATAATGATGAGACCCATGACATAAAAAGGAGATGGGTACCTGGTGGAAAATAAGTCATAGACATGGTGTCTTCATGCTGAAAGGAAAAAGTCAACCTGAAACAATGAAGAAAGGGAACTTGAGGATGCTTGAAAGCTACAGTTACCAAGTGCTTGGTAAACTAAAATATTGTGTTTGAAATACTAGCTGGAGCAACAATGCAAGAGGAGGAAATCAAAGGGACACAAACTATCCCTATTTGTAGAACACATGATACCATACATTAGAGATTTCAAAGGTTCTACCAGAGAATGTCTAGAAATGATAAAGTATTCTAAAATTAATGAAACCACAAAGACCCCAGATAGCCCAAATAATCTTGAACCAAAAACCAGTGCTAGAAAAATTACAATTCCAGGTCTTAAACTATATTACAGAGCCAGAGTAATAAAAAACAATATGGTACAACAGAAATGGAGATTAATGGAACAAAATTGAAGACCCAAACATAAGGACACATAAATTCAGCCACTTACTATTTGACAAAGATGCCATCAGGGGAATGCCAATCAAAATGACTTTGAGATTTTGTCTTATACCTGTCAGAATGGTTAAGATCAATAACACAAGTGGCAGCTCATGCTGGCAAGGATATAGAATTGGGGGAACACTCATCAATTATTGATGGGAGTGTAAAATTGTATAGCCACTGTGGAAATTAGTGTGATGGTTCTTCAGGAAGGTGTGAGTAGGTCTACCTTAAAATCCAGCTATACCACTTGGGTGTATACTTAAAAGACACTTCATCCCATCCTACCACAGAGAAACTTGCTCAACCATGTTCATTGTTGCTTTATTCTTAGTAGCCAGAAACTGGAAACTACCTAGATATCCCTCAGCAAAAGAATGGATAAAGAAAATGTTGTACATTTACACAATGGACTATCACTCAGCAATTAAAAGAAAATGTCATCAGGAAGTTTACAGATAAATGAATGGAACTAGAAAAATCTTCCTGAGTGAGGTATCTCAGACCCAGAAATACAAATGTACTATGTATCTGCTTCTATGTGGATATGAGCTGTTAAATCAATGAAAACCAACCTACAATCCTTAAAACTTGATTTGACTAATATCCACTCCGCAAGATGCAAAACATACCCAAAACTTGAATGGCCAAGCACCAGAGATTAGGTGGCACAGGGACCTTGAGTAAACCCAAATACTACTAGTCTAAAAAAAATCCAAACAAACAAATAAAAACTCATAGCAATAAATTATTCCTAATGACATTCTGTTATACTCATAGATCAATGTTTTGCTCAGCCATCATCAGAGATGCTTCCTCCCACAGCAGATGAGAACAAATACAGAGACCCCACAGACAGACATTATTCACAGAGAGACTTTGGAACACTTAGCCCTAAACAGGATATCTCCGTTACATTCCTCCCCTTAGGGCTCAGGCAACTCCATGGAAGAGGAGGTGGAAAGAGTGTAAAAACCAGAGGGGACTGAGGACACCAAGGACACAAAGCCTTCTACACACAGTTGGTCTATGAGCTCACAGAGATGGGGCAGCACGTGCAGGGCCTGCACAGGTGATCCTCTGCTTAAATATTATGGCTTCCAGTTTAGTGGGGGTTTGTTTTGTTTTTGGGGGGGATTGTTGTTGTTGGGTTTGTTTGTTTGTTTGTTTGTGTTTTGAGGGGTTTTTTTTTTTGGAGATAGGGTTTTTCATTGTATATAGTCCTGGATGTCTTGGAACTCACTGTGTAGACCAGGCTGGCCCCAAACTCAGAAATTCACCTGCCTCTGCCTCCCAAGGGCATGTGCCACTACTGCCTAGTATGGAATTCCTGAGTGTGAGAATAATTGGGTCTCTGATTCTTGGGTCTTTTCTTAGGCTCTTAATGTTTTAAGCAACTCCAATGTGGTAGTTTTCATTTTATTTATTATGTTTTATTATTATCCCTTATAAGTCTATTTTTTTAATGAGAGGTGGAAAGGGAGTGGATCAGGATGGGATGGGAGGTAGGAAGGAAATGGGAGGAGTGGAGGAAGGAGAAGCAGTAAGGATATATTATGGGAGAAAAAAGTCTATTTTCAATAAAAGAAATATACATATATATAATTTATAAACTTTATTATAAGAAACATTGTAAAAATACCACATCCCCAAATTGACCAGAAGTCTATGTATCTTAATGAACTTACCTACTATATATTTTGTTGTTTCTTCTTCCCTTTCCTTCCTCCAACCCCTTCGATGCCTCCCCCACTCCTAAAATTTATGGTTTCTTTTACTTTAACTGTTATTGTTATGTATATTTGTATAGATCAAATGCAGAGATACATAAATACAACCTCCTGAGAGCAAACCTTCTGGTACTGGGTTACTACTTAGAGGGCTCAGCTCTGGGGAAAACTCATTCTCCCTTTCTCAGCCTCCCCCTCCCACATCCTTGATCAGGTCTTGTTTAAGCAGCCATGTTGTTGAAGTGTCATGACTGAAGTTTGTCTGCCATTGCTAGGAGATCCAATCTCACCGCACCTTTCCTGGTCCTTAGCCCTTACAGTCTTTCTGCCTCTCTTTAGCAATGTTCGCCAGCCTTGGTTGTAGAATTCTGTTACCGATGTGTCTGTTGGGACTCGGCACCCCACAGGCAGTTGTTCTCTGTGTTCTTACCAGGTGTGATTCTCTGTAATGGTCTCCATATGCTGCAAAGAGAAGCTTAGACAGGGATGAGAATTACAATTATCTGGGTATAGGATAAGTATTTAGAATTCACCTAGGAATGATGCTGGTTTAGCCCAGCAACAGTAGAAGGGTCTTAGTAACATCAGAAGGGTCTCCTCTAAGATTCATTACCTCACTAGCCCATGTTGACCAGATCTCCAATGCAAAGCATGATTTCTGTCTTGTTGAATGGTCCTTACATCCAGTTAGACAGCTTTTGGTTACCACCAAGATATTAGTGCTGTCACCGCACCCTTAGGTTCATCTTGCCATGCTGGTTACTGGTGTGGCTCATAGGCATCCCAGCTGTAGTAACAGCTTGCATAGCATGCTCTGGTACAGCTTGCTCAGCTGTGTTCACTGCTGCCCATTCGCAATAGACAGGAAGCTAAAACAATCAAAAAGCCCTTCAACTGGCAAACAGACAAGGAAAATATAATACATATACACTATGCAATACTGGTCACCTGTAGGAAAAATGAAATCATAAAATTTGTGGGTAAATAGATGGAACTAGAAATATTATTTCAAGTTGGGTAACCCAGACCTAGAAGTGCAAGTCCCATATGATCTCTCTTATCTGTGGCTCTTAGCTCTGAATCTTCAGGGGCGAGCATATTACCTGGAGTAACCATAGAAACCAAGAAAACACAGAATGTGCAATGTGAGGACTGGGAGGATACAAAGGATAAAAGGGGAAATGATAAAGGGAGACTTTACTGGGGAGGAAGTAAGTACAATACAAAAGGGAAGGACGAAGAAAAAAACTGATATGTTTGAAAGACCCATACACAATTAGATTATTTCTTGTTTCTCTAAAATGCCACATAAGTGTTTATGTATACATATACATATATAGTCTAACTGAAGATATGCTACTTGGACTGACCCCAAGAGCCATAGACTATCTAACAAAAACTCCACATTTGAAATCCACATTCAGGTTGTTGGTCAGAGGAGTCTAAGAGGCACACAAAACGATACAGGCTATTGGCTTTGTCTATGGTTGCTTGTAAGAGACAGAAAGTAAGTCCCTATTGCCGAAGACACCATGCACTTTAACCACTGAACTCCAAAGAGGCAAGTTGGGTCGGTTATGAAAGCCTTCTCCTGGAAGACATGGTTGAATGTGAAGGTTTGTGTGAAATCAACAGAACTTCAGAATTCTATCCTTTATGAAGCATTTCAATGATGGTGTCTTAGAAGACATTCATTGCTGGAGAATGAAGGCATGATCAAGTCCTGTATATTTTTTGCAGCCTGAAGTCTCTTCCCCACTCTGGACTGAAATATATTTGGGAAGTACAGAAGTTTCTGTGTGATGTTCTCAAAGTATAAGGGAAGATTTCGGAGAATGCTCTGATGTTGTGTCCTTGCAGGAAATAGCATCAAGATTCCTACTGAGCAGAGAGAATGAAGCTGACATTTACAGATAAGAAAGGTCACTGCCTTTCCTATCTGCAGGCAAAGCCAGTCAGGAAATATATAAAGGAGTAGCTCAGCTCAACTCTCAACCAAGGCCCTTCCTGGCAAGATGAATCCCACCAGCTTCTTCCTCCTTACATTGCTCCTGGTTCTGGTGACAGAAGCAGCTGCGAGGAGACCTCGTGGTGAGTGACAAGTTTGTTCTATGGGAAAGATATTTGAAAAAAAATGTTGTCAAAGGGGTCCACTTGGATTCTGCAGAATGCTATGTTCCCAGGGCTTCTATCCCTGATGCTGACTGAGTCTTTTTTGAGTCTTAGCCATATGTTTTACGTGACTATCAGTGATGTGGCAAGCAAAATGTTAGTATTGAGGGGCTGCAGAGGTGTGTGGGGCACCAGGTAACAAAAGCACCCTCATTGTCAGCTATGAGGGGATTTGACAAATAGATCATTCCAACTTCTAACTAGACGAAAAGGTTAATGACTTCATAGACAACAAAACAGCAACAAGGTAGATCTGAACACAGGTCCATCACCAGAGCTGAAGCATGGGCTCTCGACAGTGTCCCGATGCACTGATCCAGAATATACAGAAGGATGGACATAGGGAGTGAGACATTCTTTTCTCTCCACAGAAAAGTTCTCACAATCATCTGAAGAACATGCTAATGAAATCTCTGAAGTCGGCGGGAGCAGTGGTGGATCAAGTTCTGCCAATGAGGAATACAGCCGGAGTGAGAGCTCATGGAGTTCCTTCAAATCAAAAAATCCCAAAAGTGGCTTCAGTGAGGAAGGCTCGTGGAGTTCCTTTAAATCAAAAAATCCCAAAAGTGGCTTCAGTGAGGAAGGCTCGTGGAGTTCCTTTAAATCAAAAAATCCAAAGAGCAGCGTCAGTGAGGAAGGCTCATGGAGCAGCTTTAAGTCAAAAAGTGCAAAAAGCAGTGTCGGCGAGGAAGGCTCTGATGGTGACAGAGCCAGCGAGTCTGCAGGGGAAATAGAGCGGTCTTACACACGGAGAAAGGAAAAGCAACGGTTTGGACAAGAAGTAGCTAAGTGATATGGCTATGGACCAGCTGAAGATCCGGATCAATACAAAGGTAAGGATATTGCTAGGGGAGGGAGACACACTCACCCCAGAGTTTAGAAGTTGTGCATAAGTACTTCCTGGGCAGTTATGGGACTGGTCCCCACGATGCACACCAGAGGAGCTGTGCAATGTGACCTTAGGAAAGGAGAGGAAAATGCCTGGCAGAGTAGAGAAAGGCACTGAGCTGTGACTGAGTCTTGAATTCCTACCTTTAGTGTGTTTTCAGTCTATTCCCCTTGTATACGCCAACAAGGAAACAAATCTTACTCTGTTCCACATGTACAAGTCCACTTGTCAGGTTGTAATACAAGCTTGTTAATTCTTAGAATTTTGTTTGGCATGACTTTTTTGTGCTCATCATGGAACGAAGTGTTACAGTATTATACTCTTCCCATTCCTCACACCCCTGTTCGGATGCATTTATCTCTTTCAAAGACTATGGGTTTAAGAATTAGCTTCCATTTTCCTCTCAATGAAACAAAGAGACATATCAGAAAGAAGAGTGCCTATTTGTGACACACTAGAGCTGAAAGTATCAGTAAATTACAGAAACATGGGTGGCCCCCTTCCCCTCTGCCCTCCACTGACACAGTTCACAGGTTGTGCTCTTTTCCTTAGGAGTCACCTTGTCTGAATGAAGCCTGTGATATCTTCAGGATGGAGACTCCTGTGAAGTCCCAGAGACAGATCATGGATTTCGATTCTTTCTCATACTTGTTTTTCTTTTTTTGAGGTTCTCAACCCCAGCATTTATTAAAACACTTTCTTTTCAATAAAAAGACAACATTCTGCATCAAATTTTGAGCCTTGAAGTCTCTTCCTTCTTCCACATATAGGCTGGATTTAATAGTTCCGCAATTAGAGGAAGTGACCTTCTTGTGTTTTTGGTGTGCTCACACACATTTCTTAAACTCTGTGTAGAAATCCATTATTCAGTAGAAAACACTGAAATTCTAATAGTCACCATATGGACCCTAAATCTCCTCTTGACCCTATTCCTTGTGGGATTTCAAACTGGCAACCTAGGAAATGTCAGAAAATACTTCTTTCAATAGACCATGGTAAATTCCTGAGCTACTGGTGCCTCCTGTCCCACCAGCCCACAAAAGTACTTCTTTGCACTTGGTTCAACGATTCTGCTCATGGTTATATATCCTTTTAAGATTCAATGTCCCTACGTGTGATACATAAAGTATCTACATCTTATGCAAAGAGAGAGCGCTACACAATGCCATCTGTGGAGACGCACACCAGAGGGCCGTCTGGCTAGGGAGGGTGTTTTCAAGTGCAAATCCTGTTGCTCGAACACCTTTCTATGAGCTATTTGTGAGAAATCCAGGAGGCAAATAATTATTCAAAAGTAAAACCAACACAGTCCGGTGGATGAGGAGTTTTATTTCCACGTGTGCCTTAGGAACACACTTATCTTCAAACCTATCTGTCTTCATTTTCTTTAAAATTAACTCTCCAGGGTCTACATGGATGTAATGTGAATATACTCATTTCAAACCTCATTAGAACATCGTGGATGAAGCAGACCGAGGCCAGAATATTTCTGTGATTCTGCAGACAGCATTACTGACAGGCTCTTAGCCAAGGACATGCTTGGTCTTTGTGGAGAGAGGAGAACAATTCTAGGTGTGACCAAATGGCAACTGACCTGCCTGTGACATCATGAGAACAGGGTCTCATGCCCAGAGGTCAGAGCCACTTATATATTTATGCATCCCTCATAGCTAGTAGTTAAAAGTTTTGGGGCCATCTCCTTAATGTACCCAATAAACAGAGAAAACAACATTCTTCTGCAGCTTTTTAAAATTTTTATCCTTTATTTTTTAAAAAAAATCTTATTTTACATACCAATCCCAGCTCCCTCTCCCTCCTGTCCTCCCACTGCCCCCACCTTATCCCCACCCCACACCCCATCTACTCCTCAGAGAGAGTGGGGGCTCCCATGGGGAGTCAATAAAGTCTGTCATATCACTTGAGGCAGGAGACCCTCCCCTCCCGTATCTAAGCTGAGCAAGATAGCCCTTGTAGTGATATTTCATTGGCATTTTAGTAAATAAAGCTTGCCTGAAGGTCAGAAAAGCAAAACAGCCACCCTAGTCAGCCTTACAGACCAGGTAGTAGTGACACACACCTTTAATCTCAGCGGCTATGCTAGTTTGCCATAGAAACGTGCAGTAACGGTGCACGCCTTTAATCCCAGAACTAGAGAGGAATATAAGATGGGAAGAGACAGCTGTCAAACAGAGTCTCATTCTGAGGGTTTCTGGAGGCAGAAATTACCATTTCAGACTGAGGTAGAGGTAAGACTCAGTGGCTGGCTGTTTTGCTTTTCTGACCTTCAGGTTTAACCCCATTATCTGTCTCTAGTTTTTTTTTTTTTATTAATTGTGTTACAATCCCTCCATAGTGAATGGGATCCAAAGAGCCGGTTCATGCACTAGAGATAAATACTGGTTCCACTGCTAGTGTCCCCACAAACCGCCCAAGCAAGATGTGAATACCTCACTGATAAAAGGTATCAAGCCATATGGTTAACAAGAACAAGAATTATGGGTTAATGTAAGATGTAAGAATTAGTTAATAAGAAAGCCTGAACTAATAGGCATGTTGGAAGTATGTAATTTGTTTTTTTATTTTATTTTTTGGGGGGGAGCACAACTAATAGATAGCCTTAAGTCTCAGAAGAGACTTTGAACTTTGGACTTGTAAACCATCTTGAGACTTTGATAGACTACAGGGATTTTTGAAGTTGGACTAAATGCATTTTGCATTATGATATATATGGCTATAAACCTATAGGAGTCAGGGAGTGGGGTGTGGTGTTTTATATTCCTTTATAAGAGTTGCCATTGTCATGGTGTCCCTTTACAGCAATAGATCATTGACTAAGACAGTGAACACTCCAATTATCACTCCTGTATTTTATTAAGATGTCACTCACTTCCTCCAAGATAGTCTTCCTTCACATTCTTAAGGAATATTCAAAATGACCTTTCATTTTTGTATCCATTGTTATTTAAAATTTTGACATAATAATATATTTTTAAGAAAGGATTTTTACAGCAGATAGAAGTAAAACATTTAAAATGCTGGCGTGTTTTTTTTTTGTTGTTGTTGTTTGATTGATTGAACATAGTCTTCCTTCACATTCTTAAGGAATATTCAAAATGACCTTTCATTTTTGTATCCATTGTTATTTAAAATTTTGACATAATAATATTTTTTTAGAAGGATTTTTACAGCAGATAGAAGTAAAACATTTAAAATGCTGGCGTGGTTTTTTTTTTTGTTGTTGTTGTTGTTGTTTGTTTGATTGATTGAACATAGTCTTCCTTCACATTCTTAAGGAATACTCAAAATGACCTTTCATTTTTGTATCCATTGTTATTTAAAGTTTTGACATAATATTTTTTTAAAAAACAATTTTTACAGCAGATAGAAGTAAAACATTTAAAATGCTGGCGTGGTTTTGTTGTTGTTGTTGTTGTTTGATTGATTGATTTTTGTCAGCTTGACACAAGGCAGAGCCTTTTGGGAAAAGGAAAGCTCAATTGAGAAACTACCCCCACCAGATTGGCCAGTGGGGAAAGCTCTGGCAATTTTTCTGATTGATGAGTGGTGTGCGAGGGCCCCGCTCACTGCGGGCAGGGCAGGGAGACTCCTGGACTTATGATCCTGGTGCTGTAAGAAAGCGCAATGGGAAATGCATGAAGAACAAGGCAGCAATCGGTGTTCCTAGGACCCCGGCTTCAGTTTCGCCTCTAGGTTTCTGGGATGAATTCCGGCCCTGGCTTTACTTCATGCTGTGCTGTGGCTGATGCATGTAAGGGGACGTAGACCCTTTCCTCCCCAGCTCACTTTTACCACAGTAGGAACCCTAGGACAGAAGTGAAGCAACCACGTCTTATTTCCTCCATGCATTCCTATTTGTGTGTGAATCAAACGCATTAGTGGTTAACTCTGGGTCACCAATTACACATCAGTGTCACACTGAGGAAAGTGATCAAAGCGCTTCCCCCAGTGTCATTTAACAAAGAGCAAGTTCAGATTCAAATGCTCTCCATCCGGCCACCTGTGTCTCCCATCATCCTCATGAAGGGCTTCTGCTCTGTACCTATTAAACTACACAGAAATCATCACCTGCAAAAGGAATGGGATACCTTACAGAAATCTTGAACAAGGGTTTATAAGGGATTAAGCCACTGGTTCCAATGAACCAGGATAACAAACAGTATTACAAGCATCATTGTTTATCAACTAATATCCAAGTGTTGAAGTCAACATTTATGGTAAATATTTATTTTAGAATATTCAGCTTCTGTATTTGCTACTTCCAGCAAACGATACACAGACACTGTTTTGGGTGAGGCATTAAAGATTATATAACATTATAGCTGTGCATTAACTTAGATTGTAAAATTGATTACATGGGGAATCCAGGCCAAGTAAGGTTGTTGATTACATTAGTACCTTAAAAGGATGCTGAGTACACATTAGGATAGTAGTCTTAAGTCATAAGTGACCTCAAGGTACATTGTTGGTTTTGACCATGAGGTCCAGCAGGAGTTCTGGTCTCTTAGGATGTAAGAGATGTACTTACCATAATGCAGTGACACATGACTTCGTTAGGTTTCTATAGCTATGAAGAGATGTCATGACCATGGCAACACTTGGTAAAGGACAACATTTAGTTATGGTGGCCTCTTACACTTTCAGAGATTTAGCACATTATCATCATGGCAGGGAGCATGGTGGCACGCAGGCAGACGTGGTGCTGCCTCTTCAAAGGCAGGCAACAGGAAGTCATGTGACTGCCACAGTGAGGGAAGCTTGAGCAAAAGGGATCTTAAAGCTGTCCCCTCAGTGACACACTTCCTCCAACAAGGCCACACCTCCTAATAGTGTCACTCCCTTTGGGGGCCATTTTTTTTTCAAATCACCACAACACGTGTTATGATTTCTGTCTCATTGCTTCTGCGTGTAATATTCATGTGCCCATACATTGTGAATCCAGGGTATGGACTTAGCTTTCTATACTCTTCAACATTTAGGCAGATTATACTTCTTAGCTATTCTTCAGACACATGGGTGATTTTTTTTAATCTTTTGTAAGTTGCTATGTGATTTTGTGTAGAACTGGGAAAAACATTTAGTTTTTATCTTTTGTTACTTAAACATCTTGTTCTCCAATTTTATGGCTAATTTTAATATTCTTGATGTTTCTTAGCATCTGTGAGAGCCAAAGTTATGTTTTAAGTTTTAATTACTGTACCTAGGAGACCCATAAAACAAAAACTGCCCCTAATCTGTAAGCCCCTTGCCCAAGGAAAGATACTCCCTGAAATTCTGGGGGCTATTGTTTATGTAAGATAACAGACCACATGTTTTTGCTCCCCTGAACAAGTTTGACCCAATTGCACCAGAAGTGCTCAGTCACATGTAGACAGAAGGTTCGGAGAGAGGAAGTAAATCAGCACATGTTTGTCCCTGAATGAATCTGGTGGGTAATACGGAGTCTTATGGGTTGCTTTTATAAATCTCTACAAAATGTGAGTTATTGCCATTTTCTGGGAACCCCGGAATGGACCTGGCCAGTATTTATTTAAAGCTTGCTTCAAGTGCAGTGGTTTTATTCTGACCTGGTGGGAGTGACATCTTCATATGACGGAGTGCCGCTCATGGCACCCTGCTGGCTTTGATTGCCCAATACACTGGCTTAGCACTCCCTGTGCTAAGAATCACACTCTGTGCCTTTCGTTACTTTCAAAATGATCGTTCGGCAAGTTTTACTTATTAAACTAACTGGAACCAGTATGTCTGATTAACGTGTGCTTGCTTGTTTCTGCTCCCTGGGTTACTGATTCTTGTTTTCATTCTGATGAATGCTTCTTTGAATGACTTCTTTATAATATCAGCATAATACTGTGTTCTGTGATTTCTGGACCTTTTTTTTTCAAATATGTTCCCTAGATTTTATCTGAACCTCTTGCACAGTAGATTAGATAGAAGATTAATTCTTTAATCTAAAAATAAAACCCAAGCTATCAGGTCCTTGCTTTCACAGTCTCTGCACGAAGCACTTCCTGGAGGTCTCCCGAAAGGAAAGAAGTGGGAGGAGTAGGGGCCAGCAGGCACGGGAAGCAGTGTCATGTCAGGGTGGTTCCACGGTGGTCTAAGAGATCAGCTAGGGGAAGAATCACTACACGGAGAACAAAGTGAGAACTAATGTAGCAGGGCCACATCCAGGCCCTGGTTTTCCTAAAAACATGCTCCCCTCGCCTTGCACACCGTGCTCACTATGGCAGATTAGAATTTAGGAGGAGATAAATGAAAATAAACTCTACCTGTCTTACCTTCAGAACAACCCTGGCTCTGCTGGGACCACCCCAGGATCACTGCAGGGATGTCCTTTCCTCTCCCCTGCTGTGCCCACAGCACAGACTCCAGGACTCACTTGGAAGAGATGACAGGCTGAGAACTTTGGGGTGGTCTCATGACTGCAGAGGTGTAGACTTCCACACAGGTGGGAAATACTGATCCCAGCTTTTAGATCACACTCAGTTTAAGATGGCAGAGAACATTCCTTGCATTTTGAGTGCAGCTATGCAAACATGCCCATGGGAAATTCTCCCCTTTAATGACGTACTCTGCAGAAACCAGGAAAGTAGAAGGGAGCCATTGTGAAGGTAGAAGTGTGAATTGTGATAATGAGAATATTGGGGTACAAGTAATCTGAAGGGGGTAATGGAGAATACAGGGAGGGGGAAGATACAGACGTAGAAGGAAGAGGAAGAAGAAGGCAAAATAACAGTAAGGATGCCGGAAAATTCATAAGGAATCATAGTGATCATAAATTCATAATGATCTAAAAATACAAATAAATCAGCATATACACATATATAGTTTAAATTAATCTTTTCCACTTGGGCTGACAGTTCACCTTCCAAAAACCATAGAGCATCTAATAAAAACTCCAAGACCAGGTATGAGAGGCTCTCTTTTGAGTTGTTGGTTAGGCTTCTTCAAGAGGCTTCCAAAACTTATAGTCTATTGCTATTGTCTTTGGTTTTCTCCAGAAAGGGGAAAGGTAAACCACAGCATGCACTTCAGACACAGGGCCCAGAGACCCTGAACGAAAACTGACATGAAACCCTCCTCCCTGAGGTCTAGTTTTCACGGTATCAAGGTGCCACGCAAGCTTCCAAAGGGGTGAGTCAACAAATAGTACCTAGGGCTGTGATGTTATTAACCACAACGATGACAAGATAACCCTAAGGATGCAATAGTGGCTTTCGTGACTTGGTGGTCACCCAACAGCTCTCTAACTAGACTCAAGACCCACTCAGCCAGAGGGAATCATGTCCAGTGCTAGAACTCTTACCAAATACCCGGGCTAGTGAAGTCATGGATCTTAGAAAAGAATCTACCACCACCATTTTACTAAGTTAGCACAGTCCCTAACTACATCCTAAACAGCTGTCCTTCTATCCACAGATAAGTATAGTCCCTACCCCACATCAAGGACAAACAGAAAACCACAACCACTCAAAATGTACAATTGTGGAGTCCGGTCCCAACTGGCATCTACAATACAGCTCTTGCATCTAAGTTCCAGAGGTCATCCTGGAAGAAGGGGTGCAAAGATTGTAAGACACAAATATATAGCGTTTGCTGTGATGCTGTATCTCCTAGAAATGTCCGAAACCAATGTGATTATCTAAACAAGAGCTGAGCAAGGACAACAATAATAGACACGCCAAAGTGGACGGCAGAAACGAAGCCATAGCCCTAGACAGAGCTGCAAGGAACTAAGGAACACTGAGATCAGGAGAAAGCTCTCCCCAGGAAAGAGTACACTAGTTGGTTACCCAATCCCAAATATTCAGCCCCCAAAACAGATATAAACAAGTCCCATTACACAGACTGTGCAGGTTATATTACAGTATTTAGTAAGATATATGTATGTAATAACAATTAATGAATAAACAGGTCATGAATTTGAAAGAGAGCAAGGAGGGCATATGAGAGGGCTTAGAAGAGGGAAATAGAAGTGGCAAATGAGGTAATTATATCATAATCTCAAAAACAAATAAAAAATAATTTATAAGAGACAAAATAGATAAAAAGTAGTCTAGAGAGACCAAAATTCCAAGAGAAATATGAAAAAAAATTACTTTTTATGCCATTGTTAGAAATTTAGCTTGCTACCTATATCCTGCTTACCCTTAGGAATATTGAAATAAATATAATGTTACATATAAAAAAACTAAACAACAAAAAAGAAGGCTGAGCAGGTATAAGAGCAAGCCAACAAGCAGTGTTCCCCCGGCCTCTTCTTCAGTTCCTGCCTCCAGGTTCCTACTAGAGGTCCTTTCCTCATATCATTCATTACAGATTCTAAGGTTTAAAATGAAATAAACCCTTTCCTTCCCCCAATTCGCACACATCTGTGTGCACATGCAGGCACGTGCACACGTGCGCGCACATACACGCACACACACACACACACACCCTGAACATACAGAAAGGCAAGTTTGGAGACTGAGCCAATATAAAGTGTTGAAGAGCGTTGGAACATGTCAGCTTTCAATGCTGATGTATCTCTTTTTTTTTTCTTTTCACCTAATTATTTTTTATGAGTTCATTATGAAGTGTTCAGGCCTAAACTGCAGGCCTTACTATTGCTTGGTAATGGCTCTGACAATGAGATCCTCTACGGACAGTTCAAATTTCCTTTCTTTGGGTTCTCTTTAGCACCATTTCCCTCTGTGTCCCTTTCCTCTGCATTCACGCCTTTTCAAATAAAAATTCTGAGGATGAAGGCCGTTCTGAAAACACAGGGCAGAGCTGTATCTGCGACTGATTTCAGTGCTGTTGTCTTAGGAGAGGTTCCATGCTGGGGAACGAAGGCATGATCAAGTCTTGAATATTTCTGCAGCCTGAAGTCTCTTCCCCACTCTGAAGAAGGGGAAGGTTCTGAAAGTACAGAAATCACTGTGTGTGTGGTGTTCTCACAGGACCAGGGAAGTTTGCTGGGTGTGCTCTGAGGTGCTCTTGCAGAGTTCAAGGGCGCAGTACCAAGACTCCTACTGAGCAGAGAGAATGAAGCTGACATTTACAGATAAGAAATCTGCAGGCAAAGCCAGTCAGGAAATATATATAAGGAGAAGCTCAGCTCAGCTCTCAACCAAGGCCCTTCCTGGCAAGATGAATCCCACCAGCTTCTTCCTCCTTACATTGCTCCTGGTTCTGGTGACAGAAGCAGCTGCGAGGGGACCCCGTGGTGAGTGACAAGTTTGTTCTGAGGGAAAGATATTTGAAAAAAAATGTTGTCAAAGGGGTCCACTTGGATTCTGCAGAATGCTGTGTTCCCCGGGCTTCTATCCCTGAAGGAAACTGAGTCTTGTTCCCCACTCCCTTTTTTTTGTCTTAGCCACACATTTTATGTGACTATCAGTGGCATGGCAATCAAAGCACCCGTAATGAGGGTTGCAGGGGAATGTGGGGCACCAGGTAACAAACACCCTCATTGTCAGCTGTGAGGAGATTTGACAAGTAGATCATTCCAACTTCTAACTAGACGAAAAGGTCAATGACTTCATAGATAACAAAACAGCAGCAAGGTAGATCTGAACACAGGTCCATCACCAGAGCTGAAGCATGGGCTCTCGACAGTGTCCCGATGCACTGATCCAGAATATACAGAAGGATGGACCTAGGGAGTGAGACATTCTTTTCTCTCCACAGAAAGGTTCTCACAAGGGTCTGAAGAACATTCTAATGAAAACCTTCACGTAAAGGTCCTGGGGGGCCGTGGGGAATCCAGTTCTTCCCATGAGGAATACAGCCGGAGTGAGAACTCATGGAGTTCCTTCAAATCAAAAAATCCCAAAAGTGGCTTCAGTGAGGAAGGCTCGTGGAGTTCCTTTAAATCAAAAAATCCCAAAAGTGGCTTCAATGAGGAAGGCTATCGTGATTACAAGACTAGAGGATCTCGAGGAGAAGAAGGAATGAGCTCTTTTAAAAGCAGAATGAAAACTCGGATTGCTGGGAAATAATGTGTTGACTGGCCAGCTGAAGATCTGGACCAATATAAAGGTAAGGATATTACCAGGTGCCCGAGATGCCCGCCTAAGCATTTCAAAGTTATGCATGGCTATTCCCTGGGCCATCGTGGAACTGACTGATCCCTACAGCGCACACCTGTGGAGTGTGACCTTTGGAGAGGTGAGCAGAGATCGGTACTGAGCTGTGACTGAGTCCGGAATTCATACCCTTAGTGTACAGCATCAATGGTTTTCTCCTGCCCAATCCAGCGAGTGATAAAATTGAGCGTATACCACCTGTACAAGCACATGCATAAGCTTTAAATAGAATCTTGTCAGTTCTTGTGCTGTGCTTGTAAAAGTTAATTCCATGCTTATTGTGGCAAAAAATAGTACAGTAGATGCAATCTCCTCATGTCCACACAGCGCAGTAAGGAGCAATTATCTTTTTCAGAGGCCGTAGCTCCAAGAATTAGCTTCCTCTTCCCTCTCAAGAGAAAGGGAGAGAGAGAGAGAGAGAGAGAGAGAGAGAGGAAAGAAAGAAAGAAAGAAAGAAAGAAAGAAAGAAAAATTGTCCCTGCATGTGACACACTAGAAATGAAAAATAGCAGTACCCTGCAGTAGAGGCAACCACAGAAACCTGAGACCTACAACAAAGGTCCCTGTCCCCTCCCCTGCCCTGCTTCACACATTGTCCTCTCCCTCCCTAGGTGTCACTGAACCGAGAGACATCTGTATTATCTTCAGGATTGAGACTCCCGCAGGGTCCCAGAAACAAGCCCTCGGGTTCACTTCCTTCTCACACTTGCTTTTCCTTAAGATTCCTAACCCTGAAAATATTCAAATTTAATCTTTTCAATAAAAAAAGATATTACTCTGCATCATTTTCTCCTGAAGTCTCTTGCTTCTGGAGCGTAGGGTTGGTGGGACTCCTGGAATTAACAGTTTCACAAGTAACGGATGTGGCTTTCTGTGTCAGTCTGGTGAGTCACAGCTAGAGACCCCTCATTCAGTCACTGCGAGCACCGTTAACCCTAATCCCTGCCGGATCCTCTTCTTAGTGGAGCCTCAAGCTGACAACCTAGGAAACGTCAGAGAAGACATGTTCCAAGGTTCAGGGACATTGCTGTCAGACTGGGTTTTCTAGTAATACTGTCAGAAGCTACACCAATAAAGTCTCATCAGCACGACTGCCTAAACACAAAAGACAACAACGAACACGTCAAAGTGGACGGTTCAAAGCTCAGGGAGCCTCAACTAAAGGATGCTGAGAGTGGGAGAAACAGTCTTCACCACAGGACAGCACACCATTGGTTATTCAATAGCAAATGGTCAGTCCTGAAAACATACATATGAGTAACATACATAACTAGCAGGGTGCACTTAGCAATATATGTGTGTATACATATGTGCATGTAATAACAATGAAAACAGGCTACATATTGAAGTAGAGCAAGTTAACCAATAAAAATAAAATCTGTTGAACTCACAGAAATGGGCTGGAGGTATAAACAAAAGGTTCTCAATAGAAGAAATCAAATGTCTAAGAAACACCTGAAAAAGTGTTTATCATCCTTAGCAATCAGTGAAATACAAATTTTCTCACCCCAGTCAGAATGGCCAAGGCCAGCATCACAACTGACAACAAATGCTGGTGAGGTTATGGCAAAAAAAGGGACTCCTCATTCACTCTTGGTAGAAAGGCAAATTGCGAAGCCACTCTAGAACCCAGCATTGAGAATTCTACTATGATTTCTGTCGGGTCCATTCCAGTCAATTGATAAAGTTTAAACTTTCCTTTTTGAATCAACTAAGAAACCTTTTATACATAGGTCTTTAATTTTTTACTCTGTTTATATGGTAAAAATATCCATTTTAAGATTAAACTCCCTGTAGGGGAGTGTAAAGAAGATAAAATAACCAGAATACAATCCAGCTCTGCCTCCAAATGATCCACATGTGCATCCTGTAATTTCTTTTCTACCAAAACCAACCCTCTCTCAGCTTCAGCTGACAATTTTCTTGGACTATTTAAATCATTACCACCTTGTAAGGATTAAAACAAATGACTGAGTTCTTGAGTTGTGAAGCCAGTTGTGGCTCATAGCCAGTTAGTGTCTCCCAGTTGAAAGTCATTAAGAGTCCAAAATTGATCTCTCCTGATTTGTACCTTTGGGGGCTGAATTTTTTGTAAACCTATTTTATATTCCAGGTAATTAATAGAATGTCCTCTTTGTTTTGTCAGGAGCAGTCTGTTATCCTCAACAAGGCAAAACTTTCTTTACTTCTTTGAACATTTCTTTAAAGTATCCACATTTAAATCAGTTAGTAAGATATCACCCACACAATGGTAAATCATAAATTGAGGAAACTGTATGTGAATCCTTTGTCTGTCATACAAAATAATGGCACAGATGGAGCTGTTTAACACCCCTTGGGAGAATCTTCTATTGATATCTGTTAGCTGGCTGAGAGTAGTTAAGAGTAGACACCATAAAGGCAAATTTTTCTCTATCCTTTTCTTGTAAAGGTAGAGTGAAGAAACAGTTTTTTAAATCATTAACTCTAACAGATTATCCTTTAGGTAATAGAGAAGTCAGGAGAACTCCAGGCTGTAGAGAGTCCATCAGATGAATTACTTTATTTATGGCTCTCAAATCTGTTAGCATTCTCCATTTTCCAGATTTCTTTTTAATAACAAATCCAGGAGAATTCCAAGGACTGGTCAGTTCTTTAATGTGTTGAGTATTTAGCTGCTCCCGTACCAGCTGTTCTAAGGTCTGTAATTTCCTGATGTCAAAGGTCGTTGTTCCACCCAAACAGGTTTGTCAGTTAACCATTTTAAAGGTAGGGCTGTTGGTGCCTTTAAAAGATCAGCGGCTGTTGTGCCCTGGTTATGTGTAGCCTGAATGGTTGCAGACTATTCTTTACAATACCTTTTAATATTTTTCCAAGAAACATACATTGATTTATGGTTTGTTTCCAATAGTTGAAGAATGTTAATCTGAGTATTCCATTGCTGTAACAAATCACATCTCCATAAATTTATTGCTATATTAGCCACATACAGCTTTAATTTTCCTGTCTGTCTTTTTTACCCTATACATTTGACCCAATTCACACTTTGTTTTATCCAAGATAGTGTTTTAATCCCTAAATGCTGAACATACGCATCCTGAAGAGGCCAGTATGGATGTCAAGATTCTGTGCAATTATTATTACATCTGCCCCTGTGGCTAAAAGAACTCAATTACAAAGTCATTTATTCATGCCTTTGGTCTTTGATAATGTATAGAAATCTGCCAAAATATTGACTTTATGGCTGCTCCTGAAGTTTTTGTTTTTTCTTCTAAAACTGTACTATCATCCAGAGAAGTATGGTTTTTTTGCAATATGCACTATGTTCCTTAATTGCTCTGGGAGAGGACATGATGTGGGATTCCCCTCTGTATGCTGTGATTACCATTGATTAAAAAATAAACTGCTTTGGGCATATAGCAGGGCAGAATAGAGCTAGGCAGGGAAAACTAAACTAAATGCTGGGAGAAAGAAGGTGGAGTCAGGAGATGCCACATAGCCCCCCCAGGGACAGACACCGGAACCTTGCTGATAAGCCACAGCCACGTGGAAATACACAGATTAATGGAGATGGGTTAAATTAAGATGTAAGAGCCAGCCAATAAGAAGCTGGAGCTAATAGACCAAGCAGTGATGTAGCTAATATAGTTTCTGTGTGGCTTTTTCGAGTCTGGGAAGCAGAAAATTAACAAACCTCTGCCGACAGTAACAGGGAATGGTTGAACCAAAGCTAGCATGAAAACTCACAAGTTGCCCCCCAAGGCATTTCCCAGTGTTAAATGGTTGGCTTTCTTGTCCCTTGTTGATCTACATTCATTGATCCAATGTCTGCCTTTGCTATATCTTCCACATACTCCAGAAGGTTGGAACCTTCTGTTCGGGTTATCTCTAGAGGAGACATTGTTTCTAGGAATGCCCTGCCTACCATTCCTTTTTAGATGACCTTGTTTACTATAATTAGATCATTTGACACTTTGGGTTTTGGTTTTTCCTCATGCCTTTGGAAATTACCTGTCCTATCCAAGCATCGTCACGGTTATGAGACCCACTATTGACTGTGTGTGGGACCCATTCCTCTATGGCTACTGATCTTATCCTTAAAGGCCCATTATACTTCTTCATTGTGTATTAGAATTTTCAAAATCCAAGGATTCAATTAATATTCATCTAACTTCTGAATATGATACTACTATATTCATCTTTGCCATAATTTAGTGCAGACTTCTTTCTTTTGGGCCTTGTATAACTTTGGTAAATGGCTCAGCCTTCTTTCCTGATTCTTGGATCTTGTTTCAAGTATTTAAGGCTGCTGTACAGCATGGGGACAAGGTGTGATCATCAAATGCAGTTTGACTATTCACATCAACATAACAGCCCTCACCAAAGATTTTATCTTGTTGTTTGAGGGCCTTAGCTTCTTCTCTCCCATAAACTGTTCCATTCCAACTGAGGACCATATTACATTACTGCTGTAACTAAATCTTCACAGTCTTTTGGAGTGATTTTATTCTGAATGAACCATGTATTCACCCTCACATAAGATGAATGTATATCATGGAAAACTATTGCTTCCTTTAATCTCCTTAAATCTAACATTTCCGTAGGATCCCATTTAACTTCTGTGTGGCCTTGGAGGTAGCTGTTGTCTGGTGTTCTTTCTTGAATGGTAACTGAATAAATAAAGGTTAGTTTCTGTTTTGTTTTGTTTTGTTTTTGTTTTTTCAAGTCAGGGTTTCTCTGTGTAGCTTTGGAACCTGTCCTGGAACTCACTCTGTAGATCAGGCTGGCCTTGAACTCACAGAGATCCGTCTGCCTCTGCCTCCTGAGTGCTGGAATTAAAGGCGTGCACCACCACTGCCTGGCAGGTTGGTTTTTAAAAAAACCTTGAGTCACTCCTCTCTGATTCCATAAGGTAATGGGAAGGTTGACTTTCCTCTGAATTCT